ATACTACTCAAGATATCACCAAAACGGATCAACTGAGTCAAATAATCAGATATGTGTCTATATCAAAGGATGAGTCTGGAAGGCCTACTAGTTTAGATATCAATGAAAGGTTTTTGGGTTTTAGAGAAGTAAGTGATCAAACTGGGCAGGGCTTAGAAGAAGAAATCATACACAGTCTTGAGGAGAAGAATTTGATGTTGTCAAAATGCCGAGGACAGGGCTATGACGGGGCTGCGAATATGTCAGGAGTTTATCAAGGGGTAAAATCTAGGATTGAAAGAAAACAAAAAACAGCAAAGTACATTCATTGTGCAGCTCATAATTTGAATTTAGTTTTGAATGATGCCATTTCAAATATTCAGGAAAACAAAAGTTTTTTTGACGTTGTTGGACAAATTTATGTGTTTTTCAGTCAAAGTATAAAACGATGGGAGCTTTTGTGTTCAGTTACCATAACATTGAAAAAGCTTTGCCCCACACGCTGGTCTTCGAGAATTGATTCCCTAAAAGCACTGAGATACAATTTCGTAGAAGTATTGAGAGCTCTGACAACAATAGTATTGAGCTCTAACAAACCTGACGAAAAAGCACAAGCTAACGCATTGAAAAGCCACATGGAAAGCTTTGAGTTTGTTGTTGAAATGGTCTTACATACATTAATACTCGAGTCCACTGACATAGTTTCAAAATACCTTCAGAGAAAAGATATTGATGTATGCAAGGCAATGGAGTTGCTCAAGAATGTACAAAAAGAGCTAACTGATTTAAGAAACAATTATGATACCACGATCATGACAGCAACTGCCATTGCTCAACAATGGGGAGTTAATACTGAGCTCAAAAATAAAAGGAATAGAAAATCAAAGAAACACTTTGACGAACTTGCCCAAGACGAACGCCTGGCTGATGCGAATTTGTACTATAAGACAGTTGTATTCTACGGAACATTGGACATTGCAATCAACCAAATTACCTTTAGATTCGAAGGAATGTCACACGTTGCCAATTTGTTTTCTGTTCTCAGTCCTGAGTTTCTGTTGAGCAGTAAAGATGATGAGCTTCAAGTGAAATCAAGTGAACTGGCTAAAGAATATAGCGAAGATTTGACATCTGACTTTCCTAGCGAAATGTTAAGTTTCAGAAGAACTTTCAGACATGAAATCAAAGCTAAAAGGTCCCTGAAAGAGATGGCAGAATTTTTGTTCCTGGAAAACTATTCTGTTGCATCCAGTTTACCGAATTTATGTACAGCATATTTACTATTTTTGACTCTACCTGTTACAGTGGCTTCAGCTGAACGTTCTTTCTCCAAATTAAAATTAATAAAAAATTATCTCAGAAGTACTATGTCTCAGGAGAGACTAAGCGGGTTGAGCGTCTTAAGCATTGAAAACGACATTGCAAGAAAAATTGATGTAAAGACAGTCATTGAAACTTTTGCAGCTAGAAACGCAGCAAGATCAAGACAATTCAAATAAATAAAACGACATTGCAAGAAAATTGATGTAAAGACAGTCATTGAAACTTTTGCAGCTAGAAACGCAGCAAGATCAAGACATTTCAAATAAATAAAACCTTTCTAAAAGTTCTTTTTTTGTGATTTGTAAAACAATTTGAACTTATTAAAACATATGTTAATGTATAGCAAAGTATTTCTTGTCACTTTAAAAATAAAGTTAGGCTATTTGTTATATTTTTTGTATTTTTTTTATTTCACCGTAGTCAGTTCACGCTAGTGAGTTTTAAATTTATGCCTACTGTAGGCTACCATGCTCTACTTAGTTTCTCAATCAGGTGTATTGGGCTAATTTAGTGAAGCACTAACATTTACAGTTGGGACCATGAAAGTTTGCAGTTGGCGGCAGCCAATCACAAGACTAGTGCGACGTTGCCATATCGCCCGTTGACGACACTAATTAAAATACTAAACAATATTTTTAAAACAGCTGGTATTATTCGATTTGGCAACACCGCACTGCCCTCATTGGCTCCTTCGAAGTCAAATGGTAAATAGGCTACTCCCTCAACTGCAAACTTTCGTGGTCCCGACTCAAATTATAGTTGGAAGCTTGGTTGAGTTTAGTATGTGAATGGCGGAGTAATGGAGTAGCCCATATATATTAATCACGAACATAACTCCCAAGTTTATTATCACTGTGACAGTGACAAAATATAAAATATGTTTCAAGGACGACTCTGGTCGTGTGGTTGAAGAATAGGTAAATACTTGATATTGCTAGAGACCATCCTCTGCCAGTCTGATCGTGTAGGCCGTATGCCTGCCGTCACTTACATCATGTGATAGTTGTGGTGTGGTGATGGTTGTGGTATATAGTGCTGTGGTGTGGAATGGGAGGGGTAGTAGGGGGCCCACAGACATTTTTGCGGGGGGGCCCGGGGAAATACTGTTACGCCACTGGGACCGACGGACCGACGAATACGAATAGAAGTGTTTTGTTAGACTTTGGTAATGAATGGTAGCTCAGCAGTCGGCTCTGTTTAGGGATGAGCATCGATAGTCGATGTTTTCGCATCACCGATTTTTTCTATCGATTTTCGTTGTTTTTCACATCGATGTTTTTGACCAAGTATATTGAGATATCGATGCTTTCCGTTACTGGAGAGTACAGAGACCAGACGAAAAATTGAAGAAAAAAATCTATGTCTTAGTCCCAAAGGCCAAAAACATCGATTTTTTCACAACGATGTTATCGGTTACTGATAACATCGTTGTACCGATGCAATGCTTCAGTTAGTAGCACGAATACTAGAAAAATACCGGTATGGATCATGAACATAAACAAATGACGTCGTTGGCCCGAATCCTATACGAATAGCATTGAACATATGTTTTGGGTTTGGCAGTTCCATTTAAGCAATGTGAAATAATGTTTATTTTCGGGCCAAAAATGTCATTTGTTTATGTTTATGATCCATACCAGTATTTTTCTACTTTTCTAGTATTCGTGGTTAGTAGCCTTGGTACCGCTGGTTGATCTAAATCGATGCTCATCCTTTCCTTGTATGTCTTGTGAGCTGTGACGCAATGCTTACTCGCTCCAGTCCAGTTTGCCCGAATCTCCAATTCCCATCGGTTAACTGTTTCTCATTGTACTAAGCCTCTGTATTGAGTTCGCATCTATTATTTCATTTGCAATACGCTCGCTCTAGTCTCGCTGACTTAGTGACGATACGACCAGAACTTGTTGTTTGCTCAGAGTTGCAAGCAAATCATTAGCAATCTGAATTTATTTTGTTTCTTTGTTGCTTTATATGACGTTTGTGGCTGATTTTAACCAATTTTATGAAAGAATCGAAGACAGTTGGAATCGATCCCAAACCCACGGAGATTCGAATCGAATGCTCGATTCGATTCCGGCGGAATCGAGAGTATTTTGGAATCGAGAATCGGAATCGGCCCATCACTAGTTAAAACCTTCCAATTCACTGTACAAAATTATATTCCCAAGTCGCTTTTAGGCTAAATAAAAAGGACGATCGCTCTAGTCTCGTTCAGTAGTGACGTTTCGGGACCGACGGACCGACGAATACGAATAGAAGTGTTTTGTTAGACTTTGGTAATGAATGGTAGCTCAGCAGTCGGCTCTGTTTAGGGATGAGCATCGATAGTCGATGTTTTCGCATCACCGATTTTTTCTATCGATTTTCGTTGTTTTTCACATCGATGTTTTTGACCAAGTATATTGAGATATCGATGCTTTCCGTTACTGGAGAGTACAGAGACCAGACGAAAAATTGAAGAAAAAAATCTATGTCTTAGTCCCAAAGGCCAAAAACATCGATTTTTTCACAACGATGTTATCGGTTACTGATAACATCGTTGTACCGATGCAATGCTTCAGTTAGTAGCACGAATACTAGAAAAATACCGGTATGGATCATGAACATAAACAAATGACGTCGTTGGCCCGAATCCTATACGAATAGCATTGAACATATGTTTTGGGTTTGGCAGTTCCATTTAAGCAATGTGAAATAATGTTTATTTTCGGGCCAAAAATGTCATTTGTTTATGTTTATGATCCATACCAGTATTTTTCTACTTTTCTAGTATTCGTGGTTAGTAGCCTTGGTACCGCTGGTTGATCTAAATCGATGCTCATCCTTTCCTTGTATGTCTTGTGAGCTGTGACGCAATGCTTACTCGCTCCAGTCCAGTTTGCCCGAATCTCCAATTCCCATCGGTTAACTGTTTCTCATTGTACTAAGCCTCTGTATTGAGTTCGCATCTATTATTTCATTTGCAATACGCTCGCTCTAGTCTCGCTGACTTAGTGACGATACGACCAGAACTTGTTGTTTGCTCAGAGTTGCAAGCAAATCATTAGCAATCTGAATTTATTTTGTTTCTTTGTTGCTTTATATGACGTTTGTGGCTGATTTTAACCAATTTTATGAAAGAATCGAAGACAGTTGGAATCGATCCCAAACCCACGGAGATTCGAATCGAATGCTCGATTCGATTCCGGCGGAATCGAGAGTATTTTGGAATCGAGAATCGGAATCGGCCCATCACTAGTAAAATATCAAGATCATCGCATTAATTTGATCACTATCAACTGACGCCACCTAGGTGCGTAATATCCAGTGTATAAACCAGTAACAGCTATTAATTAAGACAGATGACAATCCTACATTATGTTTCGTCAAGAATGTCCTGACTTAGTATGCTAACAGTCTAGCCCAGGAGATGTATATATTTTTAACTGATAGGCCTATCTGTGATCAATTTTGTTTGTTTTTGACATATAAATTGTGATTGCATGATTTATTCTGACGACACGTAGAAAAGTACATCTTTTTGTAGCCTGACGAGTATGGAGGATTGAATAACCAACAAAACATATGTGTCAAGTTATCTACATGTTCAAATTTTAAGTATTATTGAGGTACATTTGAGCTATTATTTGTTATCATGCAGTTCTGGGGCTATGAAAATGACTTGTTAATTCATTTAAATCCTCAGTTTGTGTACTGACCCGTCTCCCCAGCCTAGTCAGTAGACCCTCGTTGTCCAATGCACTGAGAGAGTGAAGCTGCTCTAAAGCCATGATCAAGCTCTCTACAGGAGGGGCGTCCATGAAGTCAAAGTGTAGAAGGTCGTTGATACCCATCGTCTTCAACTGGAGCACCTGCCACAGACCATACAATCAGTGTTAGATTACATTACATATACACCACTAGCAAATGAGTACGTTTAAAGGCAAAGATGAGTGTTGAATGGCATAACACCTTTGTTACTAAAATCAGCTGGTTTTTTGATATGACATTATTTAACAATGTTTTATACACTATCTAACAACACAATACCAACAAAATTATCTAACTAATATGTTTAACTGTCTGGGTAGCCAAGAGTTTATAATGCTTGCCTTCAAATATGAAGATCTTTGGTTCGATCCCACGAGGATTTGATTGTGGACTCAGATACTATTTGGCATTGGGCAATCAAATAAATGATATCTATTATCTAAATGGTCAATGTAAAAAAAGCCTGAAGACAATTCTTCTCTTCAAATCATACCTTCCTTAGTTGAAAATGGTGTCAGTAACAGGGAAATGTTTTGTGTACACAAAGTTTAATTTTCTTTTTCTTTTGTCGGATTGAATTCTTTCCCATACAGATAAGCCACCTATCCTCGCCAAAAAATCCTAAAAACTTAGGTCCGAGTGATCTTTGTTACATCTGTTAAGGGTCGATATTAGATGACTAGAATTTGAATCATTCCCTTACAAAACGTAAAATAGCCAATTGACATTTAAAACACACAAAATAAAAAGATAACTGATTTTGTATCAAAACACTACAAAGGCGTATGAAAAATCTGACAAAAACTATAAACTAATTAATAACTTCATATGAAAATTACAACATGAGTAATGATTATTATTCTTACCGTGGTAGCCAAGTTTGTCCGCTGAATCTCTGGCACTGGTGTAGGCAACATCTCATCTCTGTACGCTCTTTCAGTGTACAGACGATAACACTTTCCAGGACCTGTACGTCCAGCTCTACCGGCTCTCTGTTTGGCTTGGGCCTACAGTGAAACAAAAACATTGTCGGAACACACTTCAGAAGAAATTAAAATTATGTAAAAGTTATTTTAAACTCAGTTCCTTGGTTCATCATGCTGTATGCATTTCAATCTGTTAAACCCTATTATGACTTTAAGCTGCGCTCTAAAAAGAGAATTTTGATAAATCTGTTAAGTATTTGGTAGATATGTGCAGATATTTGAAAAATCGGGTCGGATATCCGTGTCCGAACTGAGCCCAAACTTTATATCCGTTCCTATCCGTTAAATATCCAAATTTTTCGGATGGACTATGTTTTTGACGTTTTGGCTTATATGACGACTATGAGGCCACTGAGACATTGCCTTGCCATATAAATTGTTTGCTTCAAGATACAAACACTGATACATAGCCTTGCCATATAAATTGTTTGCATCTAGATACAAACACTGAGACATGGCCTTGCCATATAAATTGTTTGCACCAAGATACAAACACTGAGACATGGCCTTGCCATATAAACTGTTTGCATCAAGTTACAAACACTGAGACATGGCCTTGCCATATAAATTGTTTGCATCAAGATACAAACACTCAGATATGACTTTGCCATATAAATTGTTAGCATCAAGCATTGGGTATATAAGGTTATAAGACCATATAAGTTAATATAACATAACATAAAACAAATAGAAATAACATAAGAGTATAAGGTGTTATATAAGATATACTCTGAGACATTGCCTTGCCATATAAACTGTTTGCATCAAATATAAGGCATACACTGAGATATGGCCTTGCTATATAAATTGCTTGCATCAACATTAAAGGTATACTTTGAGACATTGCCTTGCCATATAAATTGTTTGCATCAAAATATAAGGTAGGCCTACAGTATTTTGTGTGAAGTTTGAGTGAGCTGTGAATTTGATCTTCAGTTTTTATAACTGAACCAAGATTAATGACTTACGATATCACAACAGCGCAGTATTCATTTTGTAGTTTATGTATATAAAAATGAAAATTATAACTTTTCCCAATTCTCCCAGTTTTCCTGGTTAGTATACAACCTGCAATGATGATTATCTACATAAAATCCTCACCTGGGATATTGGAGTGACTACTAAAGAGTCCATCCCCGTCTTGGAGTTGTAGACTTTTTGCTTGACAAATCCAGGGTCAACCACATAGTAGATACCATCTATAGTTAATGATGTCTCAGCTATGTTGGTAGCGATGACAACCTGAACATTAGTTTGGTGTCAAAGATATGAAAAAATTTACAAATGTTAAAAGTAATCATGGTTTAAATTAGGGATGTTTCGATTCTCAATACCACCGATACTTGGTCGATAATATCGTAAATCTAAAGTGGTAGGGTTGTTCATGGAGCTCAGTAAAGCTTTTGATTCCATTTCTCATGAGTTGTTACTTTCAAAGCTCAGTAGTAGAAGTAGACTAAATAGTAATGCATTGATCTGTTTCAAGTCATATATTAATGATAGAATACGTAGAACTGATTCACTGTAATAGTAAAAATTATAAAATTGCTTACAATTCTTGTACTCGGGAAGTAAAATATGGGGTGCCCTAAAGATCTATCCAAGGCCCTCTTTTATTCATCTTTTATTTGAGAAATTTTCCGCAACTCAGTGATTTTAGCAATATTTACTTATATGCTGATGATGCAAATTTAAAAATAGCTGCAGAAACGTATGGTAAACATTAAGCCAAGGCCAATTCTGATATATTATTACTTAACAGCTTGATTCTGGTATTACTTACAACATATTAATATTTGCTACAGATTCTCCACTATTTACCTTACGAGATCCTGGAGGAGCAGCTTCAAAGATCCGAGTCTGCATTTCACTAGGCAGCGCAGAATACACAGGGAGGATGATCAGTTCAGGAACGTCTGGACCTAGAGACTTCATACGTTCATAGAGTATCTCACAAGCTGTGTCAATTTCCTCCTGACCTGTCAAAGACAAATGTCCATGGTGAATATTGATAATATAATGATATAATGATAATGATAATGAATTGATAATAAAAAAGGAGTCCGGTCCCAGCTCAACGATGAACACTGGTCCTGCAGCGTCTGACTTCAGCAGCTACCTGAACACTGTTGTTGAAGATGTCCGGAGCAGCATCCCTGGTAGCGCCTCTCCTACGCCAGCCCTCAGGACCCAACAAAGAGCACCCCCCACAAACCTCAAATGGCAGCTTGTGAATCCTGGTGATGTGTGCAAAGTTGTATCCAAGTTTAAGTGCTCAAAAAGTGCCGATATTTATGATATTTCAAATTATTTATTGAAGCAGGTCATCAGTGTGATATCAATTCCTTTAAGCATGTGCATTAATGTATGTTTATCTGAAGGTTTTTTTCCCTCAAAGCTTAAAGTTTCAAAGGTTATACCTATTTACAAAAGAGGGTGTCGTGATTCTGTCAGTAGCTATAGGCCCATCGCTCTGGTCCCGACTTTCGGCAAGGCTTATGAATCGATTATTAAAACTCAGGTCAGTAATTTTTTTGAAGTTTTTAGCCTTTTTTCAAAGAATCAGTTTGGCTTTAGATCAGGAATGTCCACGATTGATGCAGTCGGAGAGCTAATCTCATCTATATTAACAAACTTTGAACTTGGTCAGCCTACAGGCGCAATTCTTTGCGACCTTACTAAAGCCTTTGACTGTGTGGATCATGGCATTCTTTTGAAAAAAATGGAATCATACGGAATAATTGGCATTCAAAATTGTCTTTTTAGATCATACCTCAGTAATCGGCAGCAAAAAGTTTATTCCAATCAAGTCTTCTCGGAACAAACTGAGGTGAAATATGGGGTACCACAGGGGTCGGTACTAGGCCCCTTCCTTTTTCTAGTCTTAATAAATGACCTAGATCTGAATGTGCATGCTAGTTCTATCCTGTTTGCAGATGACGTAACCTTTTTTAAGACAAGTCCCTCTGCTGCCACAATTAGGGATGAATTCAGTAGCATCATCAGTGAAGCCAATGAGTGGTATAAGTCAAATCTTTTGTTTATGAATGTAGAGAAAACTCAAAGCATGATCTTCTCCTTGAACCCTGGCTTAGTAGATTCTAGTCATAGTGTTAAGTTGCTTGGTATTCACTTAGACCCTAAATTATCCTGGAATGTGCATGTAGAGTTTGTATGTAAAAAACTAAGTAGAATTAATTATTTATTGAAACACTTGAAGAAATATGTATCCTCTGACTATGTTAAAACTGTCTACTTTAGTCTATTTCAAAGTGCCTTTTCCTATGGTCTCTTGCTCTGGGGAAATAGCCCTTCTGTGATTGATGTACTTCTCGCCCAAAAGAAATGTATTAGAATAATGACCGATTCTGAGTATAAAGATCACTGCAGACCACTTTTTATACAAGAAAAGATTTTAACTGTTGTAAATCTCTACATCCTTCACTGCATGCTTCACACAAAGAAAAATCTTAACAGTTTAACTCTTAACAGAAATGTTCATAGTTATAACACAAGAAATTGTAATTCAATAGCTAGACCCTACACCAGGCTGAGCAAGGTGCTCAATTCTTTTGAACAAGTTGGTGTAAAATTGTTTAACAGGCTGCCTTTTGAAGCCCATCTGGCTGATTTTGACCACTTCAAAAAAGTACTTCAAAGGTGGCTTTCAGTCACACCCTTCTACAGTATTGAAGAATTCTTTGCCTGTGATATTAGCCTAGTTTTTTAACCACATTTATTTTTTTTTTATCTGTGATTTTATATTGTGATTTTATCTTGTGTAAATTTCTAACTTGTAAAACTTTCATTGCTAGCTGCTTGCCTAGTGTATTATTTATTCAAGTATGTCGCCCACTGTGATTTAACTTTTTTATACTTAATTTCTATAGCATATATTATTTAGTAAGCCTGTTTGTATTATTCATAATTTATCTTATAAGTACCTATTTTTTGTGCATGTAAACCTTGATTGATGTAGCTTGATTGCATGTACTTGTTTGCTGTATTGACATGATCTATTGCATTTTATGTATAATGTTTAATGATCGAATAAATCTATCTATCTATCTATCTATCGAATACAGTTCCTAAATAAATCATCTTCTTTGACCACAGATTGATTTAATTTATAATCTTTATGTTGGTTAAAGATGTGTCTCCAATTTAAAAGATGGTTTCCTTGTTTTTTACCAAAATGACCAAAACCAAGAATTGTTGGAAAGTAAGTTTTGTTTATTGATTATTTTGCTGCAAGTAGGAGATAATAATGTTGTCTACAAGATTGTGGAAAAATTGCAAGAACCTACAGACAGCCAATGAAACAAAAACCAAAATGAGAATAATTGCAAATGACATATCAATAAAATTTGCCGATTTTCTCAAAACCAACAATAATAATTTCAGATATCTAGGCATTGTACTATCTGATAGAAATACAGAATAGGATAATTGTAGCAATTAAAAGTTGGTATGCATGTGGAAAACTAATTAAATCAAAGCTGTTATCAAGGAAAACAAAAATTAGAATCTACAAAACAATAATTAAACCAATACTTTTATATGGAGGGGAAAATTGGATCCTGAGCAAAAACACGGAAAAGAAGATTATAACGTAATAAAGAGAATAAAGTTTTAAGAGCTATATATGGTCCAGTGTGTGTGAAGATGGAGTATGGAAAATCTGCCACAACCAAGAATTAAGAGAATCATTTCGAGACCCCGATATTGTAGGAGGCCAAAAGCAGAAGGCTAAAGTGGGTTGGCCATATCTTGAGGAGAAATGAGGAGAGCTTGTTGATGAAGATACTAAGGGGAGATCCGAGGGGAAGTAGACCAGTAGGAAGACCAAAGGCCAGGTGGTGGGATCAAGTCCGGAAAGCTATGGAAAAGATGAGACTAGTAGAGGAAGATTCGGAGGACCGAGAGAACTGGTTACAACGTTTCGCGAGGCCAAGTACCAGCTTTGGTACAAGTGGCCATGGCAGTAAGTAAGTAGCCTATATCTATAATTTAGGTAGGTTGACCACACATATTTTAAGCCACTTTTATTTTTCTCATGCTTTTTAACTAACATTGAATACACGTTTTAAATTTCATTTAAATTTTTTTAGATATTATCAGGCAAATATTTTATAATTTACTCCAAATTAAGTTAAATAATAGTACAAACAGATTTTCACAGGAGATTTTATTCAACCTAAATCCAGGACTCTCATTTTTGGATTCAGATTCAGCTGCAAGATTTAAAACTCTTGGACTTAACAACTTCCTGTTGCCTACTTGGATTTTAAATTTCAACAGATTTAGATTTCAAGTTCAACAGATAAACAGTTGATCAAAACTAAAATGCAACTCCAACTGACCTGTAAGAAAGAGAAGGATGTCTCCTGGTGGTTCTCTGAGATGTATCTGCATCACTGTGATGAGAGAAGCATCTAGATAGTCAGTCTCTGGCTCCTTGGTGTATAATACCTGCAGACATGCATGTATTTAGTATTAGGTAAAAGCATGTCAGAACATTTCTCAACAGAAAAAAAACAATCACTTATGGGTTTGGAAAATTGAAAGGAAAACACTCCTAGGGATGCATTAAGGAAGGAGAAACTGATACACAACTAAGGAAAGAGAAAAATAAAAAATGTTGTGAACCTTTTATGTGCTGTCTACTATTTTCATCGACGAGTTTGTAATTGTAATGTAACTATTCATTTTCTCTCTATTTATTAAAGTAGAGCTAGAATGCTGACTTTCAAAAGGCTATCACTTAATATTAAGGGATTCAATTTTACAAAAAGTTAGAGGCTTTTTGTGGGTGAACTCAGCTGTTCTTGATCATTGGCTAAATGGTCCTGGATAGAGCTGGTCTTAGTCAGCAACAAAGTAAGACAAGGCAGTATACTGTCCGCCCATATTTGGTATACATTTAGGTTGAAATCCCTATGAATGATAAGTGATAGACAAAAACACTTAATTTATTTACACTTTACATTGACTGATTTCCTTTATTATCTATAATTGAAAAAAAAGGATATCATTAATTTATTTGACTCAAGACTGAATCCTAATCTTACCTCGACTGGGAAAGTCCGACCAGGGATAGTGAAGATTGGTGCTTCAAAGAAGTACTGTGAGAACTTCACCGCATCGAGGGTGGCTGAAGTGACAATCAACTTCAGCTCTGCTCGCTTCTTGACAGCTTGCTTCAGTAGGCCTAGACAAAAGTCACAAGAATATAATACATTTAGTCAAATCTTAAACAAAGGCTGCCATCTATTCTTAAACGATTCAGAAGTAGCAAATAAGGTCAATTGGATTTAATAAATATACTGTCACAGATATTTACAAAAGTTCAAATTCTAAGAAATTTTGATAGAAAGAAATGGCGATTAGTTCATACAAAAAAAAAAATGCTTTAGGTCTCTTACATGTGTATACCTAAACATACATACGTATGTTTACCTTGTAAAGCAAGGTAGGTTGAGGCAAGAAAATCAAGGCAAAATTTCGAGATCTAATGTTTGAGTTACCAATCACTGCTCAGAAGCATGAGGCTGGTATAGCTCACTATAACTGGCTGAGCTAAGTGAGTGGTTATAGTGCTCGCCTGACGCCTAATGATCAAAAGGCTGCCGGATTGATCCTGAGAATAAGTCAGTAGCTTTTTGATGGTTCAAAACTGGACCCAGCTGTCCCTGATCATTGGGCTTTAAATAAATGATCCTGGCTAATGAAACAGCTGATCTTTGTCAGTAACAAAGCTACAAAGATCATCTCACTCCATACCACAATCTTCCTTCACTCATATTTGGGTTGAAATACGGACCTAGATGGCGTCCTCATCTCAATAACAAATACATCATGATTCTTATTTAATTCTAATCTTACCAAACAAGAGCAGTAAATTACTTACAAAAAATTATGCTTCTATTGTCAAGTTTCAAAACCAATAAAAGTTGTTGAAGTTTATTTTGGGAGATTAAGAAGTATAACATATTTCAAATTTTACTGAATCTTTAACAAAAATAATTAAGAAAATTAACAATATTAAGATTGGACATACCAAAAAGTACATCAGTGTGGATTGTTCTCTCATGGGCTTCGTCCAACATGATGACGGAGTAACTCTTCAAGTCCAAATCCACAAGGCATTCTCTCAGCAACATACCATCTGTCATATATCTGGAAATGAGGATAATTTACACATTATAAACTGCCATATGATTAAAACTGTAATAATTGTTGAATTGTTGGTTCAGTCCAGTAGGGAATCTGATTATGAAAACATAACCGCTATGTCGTGGTTTTGCGTACGGAATTCACTACTAAAATTTACCATTATCATTGATATAGGCTATTGTGCCAAGCCCACTCACCTCTTGCTCTCCTTGAATACGTTTCATACAAAGGCCTGAGGCTTATAGGGACTGGCAAATTCTAAGTTAAAAAACACATCTTAAATCAAAAAAATGTGATACTTACTTGATGACTGTTTCAGGACTGGTGCAATCCTCGAAACGGATAGTGTATCCAACCTCTTGGCCGAGCCTACAACCAAACTCTTCTGCCACTCGCTTGGCCACCGACATGGCAGCTACACGACGTGGCTGCGTGCAACCTATCTTCCCTCGGGCTGTGAACCCTGTGTAACAAACATCATCAGCACTAATATTACACAGTTATATGTTTTATCTATTGTAAATAAAACTTTATATTATTAGTTGGGAAGAATAAATACAGAGGTCGTTGAAGACAGTTTAAGAGGGTAAGCAGAAAATGCTCAACTAAGATCGATAGAAAAATGAGAAGAGAGAAGTTTGAATAGGGAATTGACAACAAATTGTGTTGATTGTGACAGAGGGAAGGAGACCAAAGAGAAGACATAAGAGGGTTGATAAAAGAGATGAAGAGTGATTTGAAATCCTCTCATTAGACACATTCTATTCACACGACTAAAACAAAAATCTCTCACCAGGCCAAAAAAATCATGTTTTATTTTGCATGAATATTAAGACAAATGCTGTTCTATCCAACATACAATAAATAATAAAATGTTGTTGAATCCCAAATGATCTTATTACATGATGTACTTTAAATAGTGTGGTGTTGTGGTAAACACAAGTACACTTAAATACAATGGTTGAAAAATAAGTTCGAAGTTCGAATCGAATATTTAAATGATCGACCTACCATTTAAAAGTAGGTTATAATCAAACCTAAAAGTCACTATTTGCGCACCTCTATTAATAACAGGTGTCAGAGCTTGAAATACAGCCTTGTACCACATCTATCCTGTGTTAACCCCGAGCATGAAACACTAATGGGATAGCAGATGGTGGAAGCAAAAACTGTAAAGGGGTCTGGACAACCCAGAGAAACCATAACACAAGAGCATATTAAGGCATGTGAACAAACATCTATGATCCGTTCAATTTACTCGCAACCGATACATCACTTAGATTTTGTAACTATGTTACAGTAAACCTATGGATATAATTAGGGGTGTGCGATGCATCGAAAATGCATCGAAATTTCGATTCGATTCGATTCGATGCATCGAATCGCGATTCGATTCAGTGGTGGTCAAAAAACGATTCGATTCACGAGGGAGTCAGTATCCATATACGAAAAACGCCTGCAGAAAGTCAATGCAATACCCGCAATACAGGAGCGCGTTGCTGTTGCGTTTCCTTTACGAAGGCGTTCTTATTTAATACATTCTTTGCATTAAATATAGCTTTAATTGTTTTATATTTTTTTGTTTTGACATTGCAAATGATTAGAGGTTTTGTTTTTTGTCTTGATGTAAGCAGTGTGTGAAATATTTTACTACTGTGAACCTAGCCAAAACAAAGTAGGTTACTCCAAAATAATTTTAAAAATAAGTCTGAAAAATTGTTACTTAATACTTAACTAGTAAGATCAATGTTATAGACTGATACATTTGGTATTTTTGTTAGGTGTCTGTCGGTCCCCGTTCCCGAATTTTTGTTGGGGCAAAAGAAAAAAAAGAATAATTTATTTCCAAAGAAACACTCTTATATTATTATATCTATTACAGAGGAATTAAAATGTTCAAATGAGAATTAAAAATTAAGTTGGCTCACGACCTTTAAGAATAAAGACACAACAGAGCAATTGCCGCACTGCCACTAGCCAGAGCCAGGTCTAGTCGTCTACTGATAAGAGTAACAAGACAAAAGCCGTGACGCAACACTAACAGTGCAAAGAAAACAAAGTCAAAAGAATAGAAAGACTATTTATCCAGACATACTAGTATAATCATTTATTGTTCATTCAATACCTAATTAAAAATATATTTTAGTATTTTACATAATAAATTATAAACAAAAGAAATATCTGATATAGTGAACAGATCTGTATCTTGGTTAAATAGGGTTAAAAAAATATATTTCTAAGATCCAATACAATATTTACAACTCACAAATTACATTGAATTAATTTCTTTGAAAATAATCTCTAACAGTTTTGTGTTTTTGAATAAAGAAATATATTTCTTTGTCTCTACTTCCTTGTTTCATCACTTGCATTTTGTCAGCAATTGAAGCAACTGGGTAGCAACCGGGTGGTGTAAGAGGGGAGGGGGAGGGTCTATGACCTTGAATTCACACATCGTTGCCCGGGCCTGGCTGGTGAGACTGATTCATTGTTTTTGTTGACATACTACTACCCTTCCTTAAGAGAAAAAGGCCCTGCTGTTCCAAAAACATTGAGGGTAGTTTAAAAACATTGACCTGTGTTGCCAAGGGCACTAGAAGATAGCATTTAACTTTCTTGTCTCTTGATTTAATATTATTTTAATCTTCTATATATTATTTAAGAGTTACTTTTCGGGTACCTAATTAGTTGTGATATTGTTTAGCTTCATTTTATGGATTTTTAATTCTTTTCATTCATTAGCTATCAAAATCAGTTGTTTTAGGATTTTAATCTCTTGCAGTACCGGTAGGTCTATACTACTGTATGACATGATATGCATTTTTTAGTCCTTATTAATTATACCATAAACAATGTTTGTATGTTATTTACTGTTTTTGAGTTTTATAGGAAATTAGTTTACACAATATCTTTTCTTCAATGAGTTCTCCACTTGACATGTTGCTTCTAGCCTATTACTATTTTAGGCCCTATAAAAATAATGCCTATGTAAAGCTGTAGGCCTACTGATGCCAATAATAATTCTTTATTTATGATGATGTAACAAATAATGTAAGTGTGAGGTTATTATACTAAGGAGGTTAGGAGGCAGGGAATGAATGATACATGTTGCATGGTGGAAACATATTATTTTTATTTTCTTCTTGCTTGCAGTCCTGAAGCCGGTCCACAGGCCCTAAACTTGTGATAATGTAAATTTATTTCTTAATGGTCTTTTTATATTAAGTTCCATTCAAATTTGTTGTAATTTAGCTACCGGTACCTATTTAGTTATTTAAACAGTTATTAAAATGAGAATGAATGTCTTGATAAAAAAAATATTTTCTTCTTTCTTGCAGTTGAGCCAATTCCAAGTAAAAATTATGAAATAGGCAAGTAAAGCAGCTCACTGGTATTTCCAGCAGTTATTCTAATACATATGATTGAAAATAAATATTTTTTCACCTAAAATTCATATGTAAGTATGAATAGGCCTAATACCACATCAACAAAAATTTGTATTACACAAATGTGATAAATTTTAATTATTGTTAATCCACTCAATTGACAATTATGAATAGAAAAATACCGTATTGCTTCGAATCGAGTTGCATCGAATCGAATCGAAAATCTTTTGAATCGAATCGTTGCTTCGAATCGAAAATTTTTTGCTGCTTCGCACACCCCTAGATATAATATATGTTTTCTACTTTTGTAAGGGAAATAGCACAGCAATGTAAAAGTGAATTCTGCATCTCAATAATTCTTTTGACTTCTCAACTTACCGGCTTCAGCGAGATACTGTGTAATCTGAGTTGTTTTTCCTGAACCAGTCTCTCCAATGACAATCAGGATTTGGTTGTCAGTAACTGCCTGTAACCAAAAAAATATGAATAAATACATTTTAACTGCCACAAAAACATTTATTTTAAATAACACTACAAAAAAAAAAAAAAAAAAACAGATGACAGAAATTGTTGTGGAGATAAATCATAAAACTGGCAGCAATAAAGTATTTGTATCATGATGACATGATGATGAATGCACACTACAACAAATTTTTGATTACTAAAGCTTATAGCCTACTGCTTTTCTACTAGAAACTTGGAAACTATACACCTGCCACTATCTCTGTAACAACATTAACCTACCATCACCAACAACAAACCTTATACAAAGAAAATGATCATTAGTGTGGCTTAGGTTTATATAATTGGGTCAACTTATCATAAACAAAAACCGAAAAAAATGCAATCGACTATACAACTGACCAGTATGGTAGTTCAAATCACCATTCAGAAAAAGTTGGCATCTTCAACAGAAATAAGTCATTTTCATCAGCACACTCTGTACTCTGTAGGTGACACACTTTTATGTTGCACTCTAAAACTGGCTTCAACATTAACATGGGAAAGAAAAGTAGTATCCATAGGCCTACTAAAAGGTGACCTACCTTAGTCAGTTCATCCTTCAGCTTGTATATCGGCAGACTCTGTCTCTGTTCCAGCAGTGTCATATTCGTCTTCATTCCGAAGGAGCTCTTCTTGCCTCCGATCACATGTTTCTTCCACTCAGGCAGATCTTGGTTTGTCAGCCCAATGCCTCTCATGTTGGCTGCCAGTGCTCTTCCATCACCTGCAATTGACAGGGACATTTTAGTTGTAAGATATGGAACTCAGAATTTATGTTTTTGTTTATTTTAGTTCATAATTTTGAAGTGTAATTATTTTATTTGTATGTAACTAACAGAGTTGTTTGCAAAGGTTGTGAACCATTGAAAAATGAGAGATGTTAAAAGGTGATAAAAATGAAGAACAAAAACAAAACTGCTACACCAGAGTTGTTCACAACCTTGCGAACAACTCTGGTTTAGCAGTTTTGTTATTTTTTTTATCACATTTTAACATCTCTCAATTTTATATGGTGCTCATATTATATGTATTTTTCCTCATACTGCAGCAAAAACAGCCGATTATAATAAGATTTTAATATGATTGGGGGTCAAGCATTTTTAGTCCCTAGGGAGTAAAGGTCAGCTGTTGTAAACACAGTTGTAGGCTTTGATTGTATCAAAAGCATGTAGGCCTATTGCTCGTTTTAATCAGTTGTAGCTTATCAGTTTGACATATCGATGGTATAATGTACACTAACACAATCGTAATAGTCTAAAGCTAAAGGACTGAATCACTTGCTAAACAACTGCTAATTTGCATAAGCTAATTTAAAAACAAGTTAGAAGTCGTTTTGAGAGGTTATCTTTACATGAAGAAGTCTTTCTAACTTAGTTTACTTGAACAATGGTGCAATTTGACATCAAATATAGTTCATCCCCGCGGGCAAAAAGTGTCTTTTCAACCCTAGCTTATTTTCCAACCTCGGCTTCGCCTTGGTCGTAAAACTTTAACTCAGGTCTAAAAGAGTTACTTTACGTCAAAGTGATAAACTATACTATTTAGAGCTTTGAATCTTGCAATTGTACATTTTTATCATGATTTTATTTTAATGCACTTGTCATCCTGTCAATTGTAAACATGTTTGTACTAACTTAAGTTATCATTGAAAACTGGTTAGTGTGGTAAATAAGTTAATTGAGTTGAATTAAAAGACTCACTCTCTGGTAAGGGATCTGTCCAGTTCTTGCTGAGCCCGGTAGGTACAGAGTCCATCTCCTGCTCTCTCTGCAACATCTTCACTTCTCTCCGTTCCTTGGCCAAGGCACTCTGCATCATGGCCGCCTGGGCTAGCGATCCATCAGGGTTCTTTACGATCCTCACCTATGACAATAATAACCACCTAAATCTGGGATGGAAAATGAACGTTCTTTAGCTTTTTGGTACCTAATAAAAATTAAATAAAAAAAACTACTCAATATGATGATATATGATACTCAATATGGTGACTAAACACTATTTCAATCGCTAAATTAAGGTTTGTTACCGGACTGAGATCGTGCAGGTTGCGTCCGTGGCCTTGCAGAAAGGGTGGTTCTTCTTCAACCATTTCTATCTCGATGTCTTCCTCTTCTGCCGTCTCCTTCGGCAGCAATCCTGTCTCCTCGTCAAAATCTGGCAGCTCGCTTTTGTCTATGCAACTTGCCGACAACATCTGTCAACAGTTAGTGACAATTAGTTATCGCAAGGATCTTTGTGAGGGTATCTCCATTAAAGAGACAGTTTTGCTCACTTAAGTAACTCTTTTTTACTTGGTGGGTGGAACTTAAGTTTAAGGTTCCAAACCACAAGGTTGCAGCATTATTCTTCTCATAGCTTAAAGCCATCGGTGATTGACAAGATTTATATCCGAGCTTCTAGACTAGAAAACCAACTTTTTAACCACTAGACTAAAACCCCCAAATAATCAAATGACAAGTCTCTACTTTTCCAGAAAAGTTACTTCTAAGCTTCTGAGAAAGCTCTGAGGAAGATGGTCAACACTAAATAAAAATTAACTGTTTTGGAAGAGAGCATGTAATCTATCTGTTATTTTTCTTCAAACGATCATACTTTCCTAGAAATGTTCCTTCTAAGGAACATTCCACAGAATGATCTTTTCCTGTCATTCTGAGATTCTTTTTTTTTAGAGATCTCCGAGGACGATGGTCAACACTAAACAAAAATTAACTAATTTGGAAGAGATCAAATCAAATCAAAACATCTTTATTTTCCTTACATGTACATGGGTACAAAAATAGTGTCAAGTATAAAGTACTAAACTAGCTTAAAGATATAAATACATTTTAAGTATGAATAGGTATTTATTCAATGAGTTCCTCCATTGTATAAGGCGCCTTTTCTATTAAATGTTTTTTTAATTTAGATTTAAATAATTTATAATTTGATTCCTCCTTTATAGAGGCAGGCAATTTCCTTAGAATTAGTGATCCAGCAAAAGTCGGTTTTTTTTTAGAATTCCAGCTTATAGGTTGAAGTTACAATATCCTTTTTATGTCTTGTATTGTAACTATGTGGCACAACTGGCTCATATTTTAGGCTGTCTCTTTTAGCTATACATGCTATTTCAAAAGTATACGCTGCAAAAACTGTTAAAATATTTAGATTTTTAAAGTGAGATTTAACTGATTCATCTTTTTTAAGGTGTAACATAGTTCTAATGGCTTTTTCTTGCATGATTAGAATTTTATTTAAATTTTTAATCGTAGTTGCCCCATAAAGTCTAATGACAATATCATGTAATTTATCTCTTATTTTTCTTATATTACTATCTATGACATTTAACTGTTTGGCCAAACTTAACAGTATTTTTATGTACAACTCAAAAATGCTGTCCTTTAAAAATTTGTATCCATTTTCCATTTTCTCTTGTTGGTCTAAACACTTTCCTCACTTTATTTTCTAAAGTGAACAACTTTTTGTCGGTTCATTTGTGCGCTGAAGTGAGCTTATTATAGTTTTGCAAATTTTGAGCTGTGTGAGGACAGGAATAAATGTTAAAAATATTTGTGTGGCAAACATGCTTCTATCGGGACTTGGTAAAATTTATTCAGCAAACTAAAACATTTTTTTAAAGAAATTTTACATATGTAAGAATAAGACAAACAAATAATATACATAGTACTACCACAGAGAGTAGTTTACCTGTTTTAATTCCCACTTCTCGGGGGATGAGATCCTGTTAACCCTCTTACGGCTGTTAGTCTCGTCAGACTCCAAAGCTCCCTGCAGTTGCAACAGTGACGTAGGCCTGTCAGGGTTACGATGAGCAGTCTCCTCATCCCTGTCCAACACGTTACAACTCTTACAACCTTTCTTTGTAAAAAATAATCACGTTTAAATTAATGAATAAAAACATTAACAAGCCATCAAAATTATTCATCTATCTGGCCCTGTCAAATAGTCCAACAATTATACGGTAATAAACTCACATGTTTTGTTACAGAAGTAACATTTTCAAAGCTTGCAACTTTGTCAATACCTAACTAAAACTCACAAAAGACAAACATATAAATGAATAAAATTGAAAAATTGTGTAGCATACATGGCAACATTTTTTCCTTTGAACTCCTTAGACCATGATAATGTGTCAAAGGTCTTCTTAAGTCATATCTAAATACCCTTAATATATATTTGTTAAAACTTAGGTTATAGTCCCTATTTATAAATTTACTTTATCAAATTATTGAAAAGGCAAGTGATTTAAAAGATTTAAAATGCACTATTTTCATAAGTTAACCGTACCTTTCTCTATTAAGATGACTATGACTAGTGGGGTTCAAATCTCGTCCAGTGTCTTGATCCACGTCCTTCATTGAGAGAGAAACTTTCTGTCCGGTTACAGAGAGAACTTTCACCTGTAAATTATTCATCCCTCATTAGATATTTTGAAAATCATCTAAGCTTTAAGTATTACAAAAATTGTGTATTTAACTTTTTTGTATAAATTAAGGTAGCAATCAGAGCATTTTGATTGTATAACTTTAATATTACATCGGTATAAGATTGAGTTTTAAAAATGTTAAGAGATTACACCTGATTTTAAATTCTCTTTTGGCTGTGTAGAGCAACCTCCACTTTGAGAAACTACTTACTACTTGTTTTTAGATTTGCAGTGTATTTTCTGTTAAAACAATAATGGTAACACCAAAAGATGTCAGCAATTTCGTTTTTGAGCTTGGAATCTTGAAAATCACCAATAAAACCCATATAACAAAATGTTTTCTGAATGTTGGTGGTTTTGAGATTTGGATATCAGGTTTGACTTATCACTGACATCACTAATGTCTACCTATTTCAGTATTCAGAGTCAATACTACTCACTCACCCTGACTTTGCTGCCGCGTACAACTACATCGCTTACGTTGGTAACTCTGCCTTCCCTCCTCAGTTGACTCACATGTACCAACCCTTCCCACCGACGTTTTAGGCCCTCTAGTTGTACGAAGCAGCCAAATTGTACAATGTTGGCAACCTTGCCAGCATAAATCTTTCCTACTTCTGGCTCCTCAGGAAACTGTTTAGACTTGGCATCCCCTCCGTCCCTTAAAATGTGCATTGAGACATGTTAAAACTATTTAATAAAAACTGCCGCAGAATAAGACCTAACCCAGAACTTACACTGAGCTATACAAAAAGTTGCGTTTGAATCTGCTACTGTCTACACTAGAATTTATAAGTGCTATTGTAGCTGGCTGGTGCCAGGCCAGACATGGGGGTGGAAGGAGAGAGAACGTACGTCACACTGTTGCTACAAGCTGATCATATGAAATGTATACTTGAAAAAATCCCAGTGACAACAGCGCTCCTAAATTCTGGTGTAGACATGTAGCTTCAAACGCAACGTGTTTATTGGCTCGGTAAGAGTGAGTAAGGTCTTAATGAACCAATGCCTATAGAGTTCCTTTAAAGATGTATTGAATAGGTAGTATTGTTTTTAAAGTCTTTTTAGTAGCATAAAGGATTGAGTTTGGAGTCATGCTCCAGTAAAATACCCCTGCCACAGCAAACCTGCAGACTTAGCGAATTTCCATTTGCCTGATTGGATTTACACTAAAATGTCTCCTTAAAAATATAACATTTATTCTCTATTTAAACAGAATTTGTTTAACGAGTACTTGGGTTTGCTGCAACAGGGAGGGTAAAATACCCCCGCTGCAGCAAACCTGCAGACTAAGCGAATTTCCATTTCCCTGAATGGATTTACACTAAAATGTCTCCTTAAAAATATCACATTTATTCCCTATTTAAATAGAATCAGTTTAAAACATACTTAGGTTTGCTGCAACAGGGAGGGTAAAAGTGTTTTTTATGTAAAATGTTAATAGGTAGTAAGAAATAAAAACATTTTCCAAATTTGGGCAAAATATGTTTATAAACAAGCAAACTACAACAGTTTACTTATTCTCCATAAGAATAACATGGGAATTTTAAATTTACAATTTTTTGGAATTTTCTCCGTAACCATTAGGCGCATTATAACGCTTCAATATACTAAATTATTTGTTTTTTTAAGCTCTACAAAATAGTTTTGAAAGAAATTGCAAAATTTTATGTTTTTTGGGTCAAAAATGGGAAAAACCCATTTTTACCCCATAAAAGCCCCCATAAACCCCCGTTCCCATGGTCCAATCATGCTGGTTCGCGAACTCGTTCGAATAAACGTAGGTTTACACGTTTGTACCAAATTTCATCAAAATCGGATCATTTTTGCTCGAGTTATCGCGCTAACGGACACATATATATATATATATATATATATAAATATATATATATATGAATTTGAACGGATGGTGTTTTTGACCTCTAGGGACCTCAAAAAGAAAAAAAAAATCGGTCCCGGGTCCAGGTCTTACCGTGAGTACTACGGTAATAGCTTATTCCCTATATGGGAAATTCGCTAATACTTATTCTCCATAAGAATAACATGGGAATTTTAAATATACAATTTTTTGGAATTTTCTCCGTAACCATTAGGCGCATTATAACGCTTCAATATACTAAATTATTTGTTTTTTTAAGCTCTACAAAATAGTTTTGAAAGAAATTGCAAAATTTTATGTTTTTTGGGTCAAAAATGGGAAAAACCCATTTTTACCCCATAAAAGCCCCCATAAACCCCCGTTCCCATGGTCCGATCATGCTGGTTCGCGAACTCGTTCGAATAAACATAGGTTTACACGTTTGTACCAAATTTCATCAAAATCGGATCATTTTTGCTCGAGTTATCGCGCTAACGGACACATATATATATATATATATATATATGAATTTGAACGGATGGTGTTTTTGACCTCTAGGGACCTCAAAACGAAAAAAAAATCGGTCCCGGGTCCAGGTCTTACCGTGAGTACTACGGTAATAGCTTATTCCCTATATGGGAAATTCGCTAAAAGGTTTTTTTTAATGTAAAATGTTAAAAGGTACTGTACTGTAGTTTAGTAAGAAATTAATATATTTTCCAAATTTGATCAAAATATGTTCATAAACAAGCAAACTTGTTTATGAACAGATTTACAAAATGAAATATATTATAAAATATGTATTTATATTATGATCAAAAACATATATATATATTTATTTGTATATTATCCTTCCTATAATATTATTATATATGTATTATTAATTACAAAAACATTATTAAAATGTATTCATTCATATACAATTATAATTATAAAAAAAACTTTAAAATATGTATTTATATTATGATCAAAAAATGTATATATATTTATTTGCATATTATCATTCCTATAATAATATTATATATATATTATTAATATTAAAACAACAGTTGACTTATTCTCCATCATAAGAATAACATGGTAATTTTAAAATTACAATTTTTTTGAATTTTCTCCGTAACAATTAGACGCATAATAACGCTTCAATATACTAAATTGTTTGTTTTTTAAGCTCTACAAAATGGTTTGGAAAGAAATTGTGAAATTTAGTGTTTTTAGGGTCAAAAATGGAAAAAACCTTTTTTTACCCCATAAACCCCCGTTCCTATACCAGCAATCATGCTGGTTCGCGAACTCATTCAAGTTTATCCCGCCTTACGCCTTCAAACCAAATTTTATCAAACTGTGTCCTCACCCCATTGCAAAAGCAAAGCTTGAGTATAACTGCAATAAGCATTTTATACTTATATGCCAACCCCGTACGAAGGACGGGTGCTCTGCTAGATATATATATATATATATATATCTATATATAGATATATACAAATTTGAACGAATGGTGTTTTTTGGCCTCTGGGGACATCAAAATGAAAAAGTAAATCGGTCCCGGGCCTAGGTCTTACCATGAGACCTACGGTAATAGCTACTTCCCTATAGGGAAATTCGCTAAAACATAATTTTATAAATAAATACAAAACTACCCTCTGGTGGCTTGATGTCATATGACATAGCTTAGAATCCATGGAAAAATAATTAGGCCTACTACAATTACAAAGTACCTACCATACACTCTATTAGCTTAATAAACATTGAGATTAAAATGTATGATTTTGTATGATTTTTTTGTATGATGTATGATTTTTAAAATGTAAACACTTTGAACTTTTTAAGTAGAAAACATTTTATCAAAACATTAAAAGCATAGCATGACATTGTAGTTGGAAGTTATATTTGGAACTCCAACAGTAAACTTAGCCTATTCCATCCTTGTGTCATTGTATAAAATAACACTTTCCTGTTATCAAATTATCCTAGAGAGTACAAAGAAATTAATTTTTTTTTTTTTATATCTCCCTACATTTGGAACCAAGATTAAATGTACAGGATTATACTAAAATGATCAAATATTTAATTTTAAACTGAAACCAACATAATAGTTTATGTGATTTTATGTTTCAGGTTTCAGGTAGTTAGATCTGAAAAATATTAAGCTATAAAGTTCAACTTACGATTCCTCGTCACTTGAATCTTTCCTTTTCTTCTTTTTCTTTTCATCAGGTGTTCTGCTCCTGCGTTTATCTCTTTTCTCTTTGTACTTGTCTCGACTTTTATCTCTGCTTCTTCTCCTTTTGTCTCTACTTCTACTTCGTCTTTGCCTACTCCTGCTTCTACTTCTGCTCCTACTTTTTCTTGACCTCTTCCTATCCTTGCTTCTATCCCTTTTCCTTCCATGTCTTTCTCGACTTCTACTCCTACTCTTGTCCCTTTTTCTATCTCTATCTTTCCTACTTCGGTCCCTGCTGTGACTTCGTCTTTCTTCTTTTAACGCTCTGTTAGGTTTTACCTTATCTTCGGGTTCAGAATCACCGCTACTAAGAGGTTCTTTTTTAACCTTCGGTTCATTTACACTGAGCCTAAAAGAGAAAAAGACAGTTTTAAACTGCAGTAATGCACAAAACAATTTATGTTGAGTACAATTCTACATTATGTTGAGTGCTAGGTACATAATAAAACACATGAAAAAATATAGAATGAACATTTGGATTGTCATTCTTCCATTCTTATTTTACAAATGTTGAGTTGAAAAACTAGAAGGCTAAATCTATGTATTTTTTATTTATTCATTAACATTCTAATCTGCTATGTCAATAATACTTAAGCCTATATCATGCAACTACAGTGTTTACCGTAAATCAGAAAACATGTAGGATAGAACTGGTTTTTAATTGGAAGATTTAAATCAGCAACACTCACATCATTTGAGAGGGAGCCAACGCTTCCAAGGCAGCCATAGCATCATCCACTACATCAGCTTCACTCTCTTTGTTCTTTTTCTTCTTTTTCTCCCCACCACCGCCGTCATCGTCAAAGAAAGGCCCATCATTGGGCAGTGCGAGGCCAGGAAACTGTTTGGCCAGCTTGTCCGTCTTTGTATCTTCATTGGCACCAGTGGTCGCTGCCGGCTTGGGACGCATATGTTGGATGATACGCAGCAAGTTTGATATGAAGGAGTCCTAGAAAAGTTTTTAAATATGTCATTACTTGATCTTCAAACAATATGCTTGAAAGTCGACTAATACCTGATCCCTAGGTATGCTAACGAAAGAGTCATGAAACAGAGGTAGCCTAGAACTAATTAAGATTTTGATGGCCATTCCTGTAAAGTTCTGAGGTCGGCCTATGGGAAATAAATACCATAGAGGACAGGTCTCAAAACCTCAAGAGATTTTAGGGAAAATATATTCCTGATTTTCTGAGGGACATTTAATTCAGGATTTTCTTGTGATGAGATTTGTTCCAACCGGCAAATTCTCCAATATATAGCCTAAGTGAATATGTAGGCCTCAATTAACTTTAAAGGTTTAAAGATCGGTAAGCTTTTCTATTCTACAGATACACAGTAATTGCAAATCAGGGTAAAGAAAGTATTCTTTAATGTTATTAAAATAGGCTACACATTAAAGTATTAAAGTACCTACTCATTGTAAGTCAAGCTGAGCGGTCAATAAATAAATCAGTAAAACATGTGTAGCATTGTTAGAGCTTAACCAATCTCAATACCTTCAGTGAACAATAAAAGAATATCAAGTGTGACAGGCTTACTTTGGGCTTATATTGATTGGTTTAGATATATTTTATTAACACGTTTGCTGCTTGCATGTTAACCGGCTAAGGGCCAATGTGCTGGATGAGTGCACAAAAACGTTTAGATTTAGTTTCATCCAATAGGAGAGTTGATATAAATTAAATATCATGTGCTGCATTCTAGTCGTTGTGGACGTAATTTTACAAGAAGCCAACAGATAGCAGCCTTAAGAAACAAAAGTGCTAACAGGCCCTCAGTATTGCCAAATAAGGAAAAAAAGCAGCCGGGCAAAGTTCCTGGATACACCATCAAACAATTTTAAACAACGCAAAAAAAGGTGTCAAACGCATTTTAAGGTAAGGTTCCTTCCACAATAGGACTAGGCTACTACATGCAGACATTTTCAATCCTCTTCTGACCATTAAATCTAAACCAAAACCCCACTTCACTGTTCAAAAGCACTGTCTTAAACAAATGCAGTAAGATAACAAAATTTAGCTAATCCGAAACCGAATTGCACAAAAATTACGTTAGAAACCGGCTCTACACAGGGCGACAATAACAACGTTCCCCTGCCGAATGCTGGCCTCACACTGACTGTTTCAGTTTCAATGATGGGAGGGGTAGGTTTTGACGTCATAACTACAGTGAACGTGTTAACTAAATAACTTATAGGCCTACAGGAATAGGACTTAGGCTAATTATTTAAGTTACTTGGGCATCATTGGCCCAGAAGGCATACATTAGAGGAAGCTTAACTTTATTCAACATTTAAACAGGTTTTTGTGAGCGTTTTGAAAAATGTAAAGCGAACAACTAAGTTATAATGTGACGAAATGTGTAAAACTTACAGAAAATTCTGCCCCATTTTCAAAGAGTACTTTTTTGAAAGAATCAAAAGTGTCATTCTTCTCTGCTAGGTTGATGATAAACTCAGCTGAAACAAATAAATTACAGTTAGGCCTATATTTGACATATTTGGGCCATAACAATTTATTAGGCGATAGGGCCTAACGTCAAAACACATTAGGGCACTACACTAACTTAACATCCTACTAAAAAAAGTAAACAAGTTCTTGGCAAGCTTGTATAACCTAAAAAATACTTTCAAAAACACGGCTGCACTGTGTCAACAGTTTTTTAATGTTACCTTTTTTAGTGAGTTCATTTCTTTTTTAAATGATCTTTCAGTTTAAGGGTTTTGTTTAAAATTGCAAAATAAAAAGCATGTTTTACACCGTACCTAAAGCAAACGTTTTAAATTCTAGTGCATCAACTGAATAGGTCTAACTTACAGCGAAAAAAGTTACTGGGTATTAATTAAGTTTCGTATCAGGCCTCTATACTAAGTAACTTACAAAGTAGGCTAATTTTGAAAAACATTTCTCATTATGGGCTTTATTTGGCTCATTTTTAGCACTTAGCTTATTTCCTGGGGCACTTTTCAAAGAAAAGCGTTTATCCAATTTCTCCCTGAAAATTGCTGAAAACTTAAGTTAGGGTTATGAAAACCCAGGAGTGTTGCTTTGCTGCTGCAATTAAGCTTATCATACAAAAGAATATAATTTTAAAGATCTTTTCATAACTAGGCCAATCGTCTAAAGTAATATCAGATCATAGGATGTACTTCCTTCGCTTCACACTCTCACTCCAAAGTGTGTAAATTAAGTTTTATGCCCATAGTCTATGCTCAAGATAATCTAGTCTAGTTCAAGATTGTTTCCATTTTAAATCAGTGTTTGATGAAACAAAGACACATAGCCTAGGCTAAGTTAAGTTAGGCCTATCCAATTACCTAAGTTACCGTAATAGTTGTAAAGAAGGGGGAAGGAGGCACAAATGTCACTGTAGTAACCATAGCAAATAGATAGTAGGCCTACCTCAGTTAGGCGTAACTTAAACCTAGGCTAGGCGATTCACTAAATGGGAATGGAAGTAGGCCTAGGTTAATCATCTAATAACTTAAGTAGCCTACTAACTTAAGGATAATCTTGTGCATCTAAGCTATCCAAACTGTCTGGATATTCTAGTTTAAAGATTATCCGTTTAAAGAATCACCAGGTGCAACCTCCTATAACTTACAGCGCAATTAAGTTGCCCCAGCGACTAACAGAAAAGAAACTGGAATTAAATTTAAAAGGGAAGGCCTGGGCCTAAGCAGCAGAATAAGGCAATAACTTCCATCTAATGAACGTAGGCTGGTATTTAAAATATTTGGAAATACATACTGTTTTCAGAAAAATTTTGTCAAGGCCTAACGTTAAGTTTCATTATGATTTCTAGACTATTTCGTAGGATCTACGTTGTTGGGCTAACCTAAAAGTTTTAGCGCTGCATTAAGTTAAATTACTAAGTACTTTAGATTAGACACTTGCATAAGATCAAGTGAATGTTATTTAAATTAATTTACTTACCCAAATCCTTGTCATTCAAACCATGATGATTTTCTAGCTCTGTACAGACTTTTGATACTAATGATAGATATTCGAGTTTTTGAACTTCATCCATTTTCCCTATTTAGATTCGATATTACGGCGATATTAGCCTATATTCAGCAATTTATTATTCGTCTGTACACACTGGTCACTCACTGACACTGACACTCTGTTCTGTTTTTGTGTTTATAAATAGTCTGTTTTCCTCCTTGCATGTTAGTTTGTTTTTGAAGGCACGTAAAAATCCTAGGTAGCTGTTCAAGCTATTACGTAATATCATTGATTTTTATATTTATTATGCCCATAATACAATTATCAGGTTGTATATTTTTATGTGATAAAGGGCGAGGTTCACAACTCTATTAAAAATGAAATATAATAATAATAATAATGTCTTTATTGCTCTTTGACAATAACATTGTACATTGTACTATACATTGTATAGCTAACGTCAATAAAAAAAATCCATAAATAAGATAAAATATAATCACTGTGTTAACTAAGGTCGGAAATTGGATCTTTTATTTATAAAATTGCCAATTACCAATTCCTATGTCGTTGCCCAACACTTGTTGGATAGACTGCGTCAAATAAAATAGTAATAAAAGTAAAAAAATAACATTCTTGTTAAACCAATATTTACAAATAGAAAAACAAGTGATGGCGGTGCATATTATATGTTCGAGAAGTACTCGCCAGACACTTCCTCAAAAGAGTGCAGCGGCTCATTTGTGAGCTTGTTAAAAAGCTGCATGGAGAAAGTTTTCGGGCCCGAGGCGGTAACATGTTGTAGACATGACAACTTTCTCCATGCAGCTTTTTAACAAGCTCACAAATGAGCCGCTGTACTCTTTTGAGGAAGTATCTGGCGAGTACTTCTTGTGACAAGGCTGTTGGGCACGTTAGTTACGACATTATCAAATGCGGTTTTGGATGTGGCTGCGACACGAGTAGGATAGTTCACTGACCTTTGGAGTGAATAAGTCCTGAGGGTGTCCTGAAACTGTCTGGTTACACAGTCACTTATGCTAAGAATATCTATTAAAATCACCACAAAGAGTTTTTGCTTGGATATTTACTTGATCAATCAACCAATCAATCAATTTTCTTTATTGAGAATTCCTTAAGAAATAAAATAGTGTCATATGCATATAGTGATTGTTATTTGAATTTTCATCTTGCTTAATAATTTTGAACAAAGAATTCCTTTAGAGAGTAGAATGGTTGATCCATTAGCCAATCTTTGAGTTTCCTCTTCAAGTTTTGATTTCTTAAGATCTTAAGTGGTTGGGCAGGCTATTGAAGACCTTTCGTTCCATGTAGGCAGGCTTCCTGCTGTATTGAATTGTATGGTGAGCTGGTAGAAGGTAGTCTGTAGCTCTTCGATTGTTGTGAGAGTGAGGATCTTTCCCTCTTGTAAACTCACTCTGTTCAGTATAGTTAATCACTGCAAGGATGTATGATGATCACAGCCATGATTTTTAGTGATTTATATAAGCTTCACTGCAGCTTTCTGTAGGGCTGAGATCATCTAGTGTTCTTATAGCTTTTTTCTGAAGTCGCAGTATTCTTGTAAGGTTCTGATCTGTGGTCCCCCCCAGACCACTAATCCATATCTTATGTGGGACTCTAAGGCATAGTATGCAGTCTTAGTTGCATCATGTCCTCCTATCCAGTTTATTCTACGCCCATAAGAAGTTAGCTCTATATCTCATAATAACAAGTTAGCTATTGGTCCACTTTAGGTTAGCCAGTACAGTTTCAAAACATATAGGTAATATATTTATGTAAAATAAACTAAAGTGGAAGTACAATAAGATAAGACTCTTCGAGGGTTTCGCATCTCCAATTCACCACCAAGCAGCAAAACAGCGTGTCAAATAGGTCAACAATGATAACAAAACCAGTTGACACACGGGTCGCTGTCAATGCGCCACCACGTCAAACCGCCACCTCGGTGTTTTGGTCAGAGGCGTCAACCCGCCACCACAAAAAAACCGAGGTGGTGGGTTGACGTGTACGTACAGGTCAACCCGCCACCTCGACAACAGGCCACCACGACAACCCACCACCACACAATTTTCCGAGGTGGTGGGTTGTCGTACACACTCAAGTCAATGAGCCACCACGACAACATGCCACCACGACAACCCGCCAACACCAGTTTTTATCAGAGGTGGCGGGTTGTCGTGAAATCTCCATGTTCGATGTCGGCAACCCGCCACCTCGTACGTAGGCGACAACGTGCCACCCCGTCAACCCGCCACCACTCTTTTACGAGGTGGCGGGTTGACGTGTACGCTCAGTGTTCGGTGCCGTCAACGCGCCACCTCGCTCATAGGCGACAACGTGCCACCTCGACAACCCACCACCTCGCGGTTGGATTTATCAATAAATAAATCGGTTGGATTTATATTCTGTACCACTAAATATATTGTACTTTGATTCAGTTAATTTAGAGAAAGTTAATGTACCTAACTCTTAAATAGCATTTCTGGACATTTTAGTTTATTTTCGGAAGAAAGATTGATAGGTAATTCAATTATTAACATGGTGAAAACCCGTCATTTGAAAGGGTCTCACGCCCTTAAGGGTAGGAACTTTCAAATTCTAAAACCTTAATGCAAAACTACGAATTGGTCCGAATCCTTTAACACTAACACCTTAAACGTTGAAATTTGTCCACGAATAAGGGAGGAGTAGTGTTCACAAAACACAGTCCTCGCGTATTAATATGAGATGATAAAAACGTATACCAAAAACAAAAACAGAATAGTTATTTTACTTAATTGCCAGTGAATAAACAATTTTTTTTTATTAGGCGTATAAATATATAAGTTTTTATGCGCACTTACCACCACGTGCGCACGCAACATACGTGTGAAAAGCATGCATTTTATACATTTAAACCGGCGATAGTCAGGGATAGTCTTGTGCCATTTTATAATGGTGATTGCGAAAGCAAGACGCAAAGAAAATTGTATTCACTTGAATTCAAAAGGTAATTCGGGTGAAATTAACGGTATTCTGTGATTAGACCACGAATACTAGAAGAGACCCAGTATGGATTATAAACATAAACAAATTATGTTTTAAAAAAATAGTACAACACCCCATTGCTGTAACAATTATGGTCCAAACGTTATTTCAGCTTTTGTGATTTTGAACTATATACTATCACCGCTTTCCCATGATATAGGATGTTAACAAGCTTATGAGAGAAAGTATGTTTCAGAATGCTGATACCGTTTATTTTTACATTTATTTTGTCATTTCTAATGTTTGATATTAAGTAATCGTCGTGATATGAAATAAATTGAATCACGTATATTGACACTTTCAATTGGCTGAAGGCCACTGGGGCAGAGCCCTGATGGAATTTCAAATGTGTTTTGTTGACAAATTTACACGTCACGACCTATCCAACGACACCTTAAACTTGATGATCGGATGTGTAGCAGTTTCAAAACAATAATCACAACATTTGTGTTGGCCAATTAAATATTTAAATAATGATGATGTTTATGTGTAAATGTATCCTCGACTAAACAATTTTCACAATGTGCAGTATATTGTATCTACATAGGTTAAAACAATATTACTGATTCATTTGAACCTTAATTATGCATCAAGCAGTTTCATTATACGATTAGATACAAATTTGACTTAGGATTATAACCTGAAAAAAGTCAAAGCCAAAGTCCTTTATTTTTGTTAACCTGATTTTTGTTTGAAAAAATTTTTTTTTTTTTTGCAAGATAATGACTTTTGGTACCATTTGCCTCCGTTTAATAACTGATTATCGCTGTTAGGCGAAATAATATTACATTTGGATGTTAAAAATGTAACTGGCCTAAGCGTTTATTTCAAGTTAGGGCCTGATTCATACGTTGAAGTACAGTGCTACTTTACTAATATTACAAATGAATGTGTGTGTGTTTGTTTGGGGTTCAATCACTCAATAACAATTCATTGGGCACATCGGGATTAGGCTGAAATTTGGCATGACGATAACACTTTCCTGATTAAAATATATAGGCTTGTTATTACCTCAAAACTATTTTCTTTCTTTTTGCCTTTTTGAATATCTCTCGTATGTATTTAGAACAATAGCACAATATGCCTCATTATTAAAAAATCAGGAACGAACCACGAATTATTACGGCCGATTGTTTAATATAAACAAACCCATAACAGTCAGTACTGGGAACTTTAAAGGAAATATTAGGGAACAGAATACAGGGGTGTCCCGTTAATCCCCTCGCACGTTTCTACGAATGGACTTAATCTGAAATTTCTTAGATTTTTCTTTCACATCAACAGGCCATTCCAGTTATTTAGGTGTCGGGTCACTCAGGTCAGTTCACTTTCCCGTAGTTGCGAGATCGCGATTGTCCTTTAATTTCCAACCTAAATACTGTTTTCATTTCACGTAGTAATCACAAAAGAGAACCAAACTAACATTCTGCTGTTGATAAAACTATTCTATGTCTTGTATTAATTTGTTTTATTTAGTCGTCGGATTATACTTTTTGAAAGATTTTTAGACAAAACAATCCAAATCACTGTTTTGAATGATATTGGACACGTTTCTTTAAAATTGTACTAAAACGTCACTTACCAAATACCATAATGTGACGAGATAATACGTTATTTGAAAACAATTGGCGACTTGTTTAGTGTAATCATCTTCCTACCAACGGTCAATTATATCTTTACGTTATAATTTATTTACAATTAGTGAATAAACGGAACTATAGTTCGGCCGCTTAAAAAAGCGACCTCCTCCAGCATTGGTTTAGCATTAGTTCGCAGGTCGTTTTCTAAGCGGCCAAACTATAGCTGCTGTGCCCGTGATTCGCAACGGGAAGATGTAGCTCAAGTCCATACTGCCTAATCCAAACACTTGTTAAGTAGATTGAATTTTTAAACAAATAGCAATCAAATTTTTACAAAAATGTATGCCCTACATTGTAATTACCCTACTGTTTACATTAAAATATATCAATAACATAATTTTTATAACTTATGGTTATAGAATTTTTCTTCATTTCAATAATCAATTGCATAAATAAACCTACCACATAGTTGTGTAAATTACATAATGTTTACAATTAACATATGTT